AAAATAATAAATGGCTTTAGTATTTGACGTGTTCTTTTTGTCAGGCAACTGAGCTACACGCTCTGAAAAAGGGGTTTATTTATAATCAACTGGTTGAGTTGAGGTGCTAAAATGGGAAAGTCAAAAGTTTATATATCGGCTTTAAAATCCGGTACAAGTTTAAGTGGCCAGGAGGCCATTTCGCCAAAAAAATATTCAACTTGGATTTGTTAATCTCAATTTGCGTAACCGAGGTTTGCACTGATTATTTACTTTTTGTCGCTCATTTCTCTAAAGAACAGAGTTCTAATACTCAGACAGTTACAGAATCTTTTGGGTGTTTTCTTCTCGGAAAATATTCAACTGCTTATATATCCTTATCCATTTCATTGTAAGTTTTTCAACTTCTTCGTGCTTCTTGGATTAATTCCAGTTGCAAAAATAGCAGCAAAAGATTATTTCTTTAGTATTGTGTGATCCATCAATTCAATTTTTCCAGTTTGATTGATTAAGATATTTAAGAAGAGTCAATCCATCAGGCAAAACTCGATGACGTCCATTAACATATAAAATTGCTTCCTTTGACTCATCTCCCATCCTTTCCATTTTACTCTCATCCATCAATGAACCCATTTTTCAAACATTTGACTTTTTCCAGTAATGATAAACTGTTTTAGCTTTGATGATTGAAGGACACAAACAAAAGAAAAGTATAGTTTATATTTACCGAAAAAAAATTAAAAAAGAGTCATATGTTACATGTAAGTTACATAGGATTTTATTTGAATCATAGTCGGTTGGTCCAGTAGATAGAAATGAGCTATCCAACTATACAATACTACAATTAATTAACACGGAGGATCGTGATGGGAGGATTATGAATTTTTTACTCTCAAGTCTTAATTAAGTATTACGAGTTCGAGTCGTAAATATGGTTTCTTCACTCTTACTCAAACATCCCAGCTTCAAGCGATGAGGGCAAAAATAAATTTGCTTAGCTCTGCTTCATTTAAGATATCCATGTTTTAACTTTTGATGCCTGCTAAATTACTTTGTTTTAGCACGTTTTATCGATAATTCCCTCAGCGTTTTGCACCTTGCCTTATGTACCTCCACAAAAGTAAAGTAAGTATTGAAGTAATAGTACAATGAAGATTTCTTCTTGTCGAGGACCTAGCTTAGTGAAGACATACACCTATATTTTGTTTTAGTATGTTTTGTTTATTATTACCATAATGAGTGCTGATATTGGTTGCTTTGTAGTGCATATATTTTACTCCAAAGTTTTTATTTGTTTTAGCACGTTCTATTTATTATCACCATAACGAGTGTTGATATTCATTGGTTTGTAGTGCATATATTTTACTCCTAAGTTTTGATTTGGCATATGTGAAACTTATGCAGACCAAATTAACGAGATGTCAAATTTTAAAAAACCTGAGGATTCAACATGCTGGAAACAAAAAAGGAAACGTCAATGCGCTGAAGAAGGAAGGGAGTGGCTCACTCAAAAAAATCAACCTCTAAAAAGAGATCAAAGGCTGACTCCCAAGCATCTACTAGTAAGAAGAATGCTAAATCTAAGGTTGGTAAAGGAAGAAGCAATAGCAACACAGTGCAGAACTCACAAAACTCAGATGTGCTACAAATCTCAAGTTTCAGATGTCCAGCATTCTCAGGTTTCAGATGTGCAACAATCTCAAGCAAGCAACAGAGATGCTCTTACTGCATTTAAGAGGCCAAGAGTAGTGGGACATGGAGTATTTGTCAGCAAAAGTGGTTGTACATGTGTTGAGGCAATTAGCAGTTTGGTTGCTAGTTTTGAGGTTGCAAGTTAAACTCTATTGTTTGATATCTGTTTTTTTTTAAAACTTAATTTGCAGCAAGGGAGGCATGTTAGTAGGGTAATCGACGGTGGAAGGAACAATGGAGCAGTTGAAAGTTCAGCTATAGTGACTGGTGATCTTGGTTATAAACCAAGTAAAAGCCTGAAATGGAAAGGAAAACAAGCAATCACAACTAGACAAAACTGGAGGTGTTTGAGCTTCAACACTACTCTATTAGGAACTGTTGTATGCCGATACTATGATTGTGTTTTGGATAATATTTTTGTGGTGCAAGTTATGATGTAAACCATTAAAACTTGTTTTACTTCAATGCACCTCATGTGATGTAATGTAAAACTAGTCAATTGTAGGCTTTTTGAGCTCTAATACAATGTGTTATTTCTAGCTTTCCTTGTATTTTTAATTATGTGAAAAGATCAAACATATAGCAATGACAATACACTTCTAGCATTTGAAATAAAAGCAACAACCAAGTCTCAGATTACACTTCCTAGAACAAAAGCAACAACTAAGTTTCAGATTACAAAACACTTCCTAGCATTTGAACAACCAAAAATACACATTGAAAATATACTAATAATAAGCAACATCTTCAAATTTTTCTTCTTCTTCAATTCAGCCTCAAGTTCCATTTTATCCTTCTGTAAGCCAAGAATTATCACCTTCGATTCGCCAGGAAATTTCGAATCATACCGCTGAAAAAATCCATAAGCCACATGATCCTTAGCCTGAAAATTTTAACCAAACCATTAAAAATAAAAGCAAAATTTAGCCATATTATATCACATAAAATATGATGATTTGAAAGATGATTACCCCATAGTACTTGCATCCAAAAAAACGTCTTTCCTGGGTTAGCAATTGTCGTTGATGTTCTCAAAAAAGCAGGCTGCCCACAACCACAAAACACATTAAACCTCATGACTCTTTTACAATGGGTGTTATTCTTTCAAATTAATTTGGTTAATAATGAAGGATGGATAAAATGAGAAAGTTAAAAAATAAACTCAATAAACAGAGAGAGAATTTAAAATGGATTAAGATGAAGAAAGAGATAAAATGGGTGAAGAAAGGTAAAGGAATGGAGAAGATGGTGTTATATAAAAAAAAAAAATGGGATAAAATATAAGTTTTTTAAATAAATGGGCTAATTAGCCGTTATTCAAGTTGTCAGGTGGCCCCTTTTCATGCTAATTTTCATTGTTCACGCGCTCATGCGTAACTGATTTCACACAATATGCCATATAAGCGACGAGGGTTTTATTATGAAGGGGGTATAGTTCACGAGGTTTTCAGGACACTCGATAGTTTAGGTAGGAAACTGACAAAATCGTGTAGTTTAGGCGGGTTTGAGGGTATTAACTCAATGTATAATGGACAAAGTTATCTACTGAGGCGGACCTACCTTAGGGTTAGGGGGGTCACCGGAACCCGTAAGCTTCGGGAAAAATACTGTAAATATTTATATATACACTGGGGACCCGTTAAATAATTTATCTGCTCCCTAACAACCAGAAACAAGGCAGACGCGTTGGTTTTGTAGCCTGCTCAAGCACTTCAGTTAAGGATTCGGGTTCGAAACCTGCCTCCTGTTTTTTCTTTTTAAATTATTTTAGTCAATTGGTTTTTTATTATATTTTTTTTGAATTCTTTAATACTTGTACAGTTAACCTAAAGTCTCAACTTTTATCCTTTTCCAAACTAAAATACAAAGATGTAAAAATTGCACAAGGCATCCTATTTGGTCGCCCCCATTTAATCTATATTCATTTTTTTAAAAACTTTTAACTTGTACCCACTTTTTAAATAACTTCAGCCCCTTTCTCCTCCTCCTTCTGCTCCTTTGTTTTCTTCTTCTTCTTCTTCTTCTTCTTCTTCTTCTTCTTCTTCTTCTTCTTTTTCTGAAGATTAGACTTCAGGCCTCATAGATCCATGTTGGCTAGGTCTACAGTGATCTCAGATTCATGGTAGACTTTGCATATACATCGTTTCTAGCATTGTTCTTGCTGTTTTCTCTGTGGTTCCAAAGAATTCAAGATATTCCACTTGTCCCTCTTTCCTCTGAAAAATTTTTGTGGTCTCATAATATTTAAATAGTTAGAAACTACTGCTCAAATAACAGACTGAATCCCTTCGAGTTATTGATTCGCCTGACTCAAAAGCATGCACAAACTGCTTCGTCAACCGTCCATTAGAGATGGGATCAAGAAATACATAATTCATCCTACTTTGATACTGAACTGCATATAATGTTAATGATGAGCTATGTACTTGTTTGTATGAATTTCAGTTCCTCCTCAAAAATTTCAGCTCTAGAGCTGAAGTTCGCCAGTTATAAAACAAATACGCCAGTTATAAAATAAACAAAAACTTTCGCCAGTTACCAAACAAAAACTTCAGCTCTAGAGCTGAATTTCAGGCCCGGCTACTAGAATGCTGAAGTTTTGCGTGATTGACTTTGCTACTTCAGCCCCGTATGCTGAAGTTATGTGAAAAAACGAATACGCTTGCAATTGTTTTTTGTAAAGTGGACACAAGTTAAAACGTGACACAAAAAAGCGGTTATAGATTCAAATGCCCAAAACCCACGCCTCCTCTCTTCTCCAAACTGACGCCTAAACCCTTTAGCTAATAAACAAAACCCTTTTTTCAATTAACCCTTTTCCGCTTCTGCTCGTGCTCAAATCCGGCGACCGGCATTCCGAATCGCCGGCGGCTACTGGATTGAAGCTCTACGTCAACTGATATTGTAAGTTTCTTTGAGTAAAATCTTGATTTTACTTGGGTAAGTTTTTCCTTTCTTTTGAAAATATTAACTTAGCAAAGTAAGTTGGTATCAAAATTTTGCTTTTCCTTATTCTACTCCTAAAATAAGTGATAATTTTAGCTAAAAGCTCGTTAATGTCTTAACTTGCAGCCCAACTACGCCGCTCCTGCTCCTGCTCGGCCACCCTCTGCTCGCTGCATACTCACATACAAACCCCAATTCCCTAATTCTCTTTCTTTCTATATATTCACATTAACACCATTACACTTTTTTTTGGTAGCTAGAAGCGGAATTGGATAATGGGTAAGTCTGTTTCTGTGTTAAATAATCTGTATTTCAGAGTTTCCTTTATAAGTTCGATCTTTTTTTGTTGATGGGGGTGCTTTTTTGTTGTGATTTCAGAGAAGAGGAAGTCTCGTAAGGAAATTAGAAAAGAAGCTCGGTCCGCTAAAAAGCATAAGAAGTTTGATTCATGGCTCCAACATCAAGTAAATTGTTTTTTTTTTTCTGATTTACAGTTAATTCTTTTATTCAGGATGTAGCTTGAAAAACATTGAAAATATGCATAGGAATGAGGACCGGTCATTTGGCAGCTCACGGGGGAACTTCATGCGTGGAAGAGGGAGGGGTTCGGGCCGGTTTGATAGTTCGCGTAGTGATTGGGATTCTGGGCGTGATTTTGAAAGCTATGGAGGTGGCACTGATTATCGTTTTAGACGTAAACGTACTGCTGCTGTTGGGGAATCTGAAATTGAACGTAATGACTATGATAGACTCGATGGTGCTGCTTTTGTTAGTAATAGGAGGAGGAAGCCATTAAATGATTCCTTCTCTTCATTTCGGCATCCACCTGCACGGCGGCTGTCCCCCAATGGAAGAGAAGATGGCCTGGTAGTATATAGGAAGAGATTTTGGTTGAGTTTTAGGAGTAGCAATTTAGAGATATCAGGTTAAAATCCTAACTACAACATCAGTGTGATTCATCCCTGGTGGGCATAATTAGCGAACACTTGTTGTGGACTGTAACAGGCTACCTGGTGGATTAGCCTGGGTGCAGCCAAGCTGGCCGGACATCACTATTATTATTGAAGTATCTTATCTTAAAAGCTTCTATTACTAGGTTGTTGTTAGAGCATAAGCACCTTCTTCCTTTTTTTTTTTTGAGGGGGTGGGGATGTGTGGTTTCTAATTAATGAGGATGTTCATGAACAACCAACAAATGGCATTTGATGAGGTGAAGCACTAATGTGGATATTGAATATTTATTTATGCAGATATTTTTTCTTTTTGACATAAGGTTTTGACTATTACTTTAGATCCACGATAAAGCATGGAAATTCAACTTGACTGGATGTTTTTTCTGACACTGGATTCTGTTTTTGGTTGCAGCAAACACAAAAAATGCGAAGATCATTGCCAAATTTAAAATCAAAACAGGCAATCCAGTCACGGAAGAATAGCCAAGCTCAAGGACATGAACATCTTCCTTCCTTAAATTCCAGCGTTCGAGTTAAGAAAGACTTAGAAACTTTTCCGCGGGTGGATGCTTCTAAGGTGGAAAGTAGGAGTTTGAAAAGGACAGAAGGCTCAAATAAAAAAGCAAAGACCTCTATGGAGTCCAGTGTTGACTTGCAGGCATCTCCACGGTTGGAATCTTCTAAGGTGGAAAATAGGAGTTTGAAAAGAAAGGATGCCTCAAATAAAAATTCAAAGACAATATTTATGGAGTACCTTGAAATGGAAAAGAATGGAGAAGCTACCTCCGCGGACATAGATTTGAGATTGGAGAGAAAACTTGCTAAGAAACTCAAGGTGAAGAATGAGAAATTGCAAGGAGATGATGATATTGATATGTTAATTAAAGGAATTCCTTCTGTCGTTGACTCTCATAGTCAATTGAGTGAATCTCTGGAGGGTACTGATATTGACAATTCGCGCAAGAAATACAAAAAGAAGTCGGTGGATGAAGTTTTAGATCGTAAATTTGTTCCTGAGGATGGGAAGTTTGATCCTTCATCTGTTAGCGATGTTGATCACGGAAACACAGATTTACAGACCAAGCAAAAAGAGTCAAAGAAGATGAAAAGAAAGAAAACGAAGTTTGAGGAGTATCTTGAAACTGAAATGCGTGGAAGGGTTATTTCAGCAGATGATGATCTGGCTTTGGAAAGAAAGCTTGCGAAGAAGCTCAAGGTGAAGGGAGGGAGATTACAGGGGGGTGATGATGAAATGAATATGTTATTTGAGGGAATATCTTCAGTTCTAGATTCTTTTGAGGATGAAAATAGACAACTTGCTGAAGAAGTGCCTCCAAGGAGTGATAAGAGCTCCTCAAATAAAAGATCTAAAGAGAAAAAATATAATAAAGAAGCACAAGGAGAAGGTCAAGAACAGGAGGGAGAGCAGAAAGCTGAGAGCACTCTATGCTGTACAGATGCGAAGGCAACAGCTGGAGAAGTTTTATCTGCTGGATCCGCTGCCAATGGAAATGGAAAATATGTTGCTCCACACCTGAGGTCACGCCTCAGAAGTGAATCAGAAGAGCATGCTCAAATTCGTCGACGACTAAGAGGTATGATGTTTGGTGAACTTGCATTCGTGTTGCTCAACTTTGGAAACTTTTTTTTTTTGTTGCAAAATGATCTATGTTTCTTGCACCTGAAGACCATTAACAGAAGCAATTTCTTTCAGGTCTTCTGAATAGGATGTCCGAGGCTAATGTTGAATCGATCACAAGTGAAACTTCCACGATCTACCAGGTATGCTACTGATTCTCATCCAATTTTTTTTTTTGAATGAACTAGTTTATTCCCGAAAACAATATATTCCGTATTTACATGACTTTACTAGTAGGTAAAACCTAAGTTGCGCGGCCTCTTCGATTTTGGTGCCGTCCCCGTCCCGATACGAGACGGGGACGGGATACGTCCCGGATTCGGTCAACTGACTTCAGACTCTTTGAAAGGAGTCCATCGACAAATTTGGGAGAAAAATTGAGATTTTGATTTCTCAAAATAAAAAATAAAACAGATATCTCTCAAAATGAAAAAGTAATGTCCGTCTTGGAGAATGAAAGATTGAATTCTACAATATTCATATAAGTTTTTCACAGAATATCTCTCAAAATTTACAATATTTTTATAGCTCTATTTTCTTATTAGCTGAATCTCGGCACCTGTATCCATATCAGGATCCGCACCTCCGAATCATAAAATTTAGATTTTTCCGATTCGGATACTCGGATCCGTCCCCCTATCGAATACCCCCACCCGAGTCCGAGCAACATAGGGTAAAATCATCAACCATAGTGTGTCCAAGAGTTTTTCACACTAAAAATTCAAATCACAGCATCACTCCACTTAGTCGAAGCTAGAGAGATCACAGCAGTAACATGATCTCAAAACATCCAAACTAAAAAATAAAATTCAACAGGAGGTAGTAGTAGTAGGTATAAGATTTCTTGCTTGTGGGAAGAAGGAGACAGCCTCTATCTAGACTAGACAACTTCCTATAAATGAACTTGAGTTTACTTTCTGTAGTACCCAAGTGATATCTTACCAATTGCTTTTGCGCATTCCATCAACTGATTTTCTGAGAAGCCAGTATGGTGCTGCAGAGTTTAAGTCCATAGAGGACTTCTGTTGAGAGTGCTTCGAGCAGCATAAACAGAGGATTATGCTAGCATTGATGGCCAGTATGCTATTGTTGTTTTATAGTTGATTAGACCAAGTTCAGAAAAGAAGAAAGCCATGTTCTCCATCTCCTGATTATCAGATGGTATTGAAGCTTTTATGTACCTAACCAGAAAAACATAGGGAGATGACTGCTACGGGCTACCTGCCTTCCTTCTGTATTTTGGGCTGCCACTGTTTCTTTCTTCTGCAAATTTTCTTCTTTATTATTTTGTTGGAGTTCCTTCAGAAATTTGTGAGTTTCTTCACCAATATTCTGACTGATTTCTTTTCCGAACATTCTATCACCAACTGCACTGTCCACAGTGCTGTTCCATTTACCTGTTGCTAAGATAGGAATCCATAATTTATAGTGAAAAATATGGCTGAGAAATTTATTGGTGTATATGTCTTTGAGGTTTTAGATTACCCCTACTGCTTTTGGACTCTGTGGTTCTGATAAAGCCGTTAGTGACTTTTTTAATTACATTTAGCAATTCGGGAGTTAGATCCTAAGAATCTTGTGGGAACTCACTGACTTTGTTGTTGTTACCATTCAGATAATACAGAGATCATTGGCGTTGCTTGTGGTCTTTACAGTTAACACTTGTGGCTGTTACATTCAGATATCTTTAACTACCTATACACGCTTCTCAGGAATATATGTTTCATACTGGCAAATTGATATTTATTGATTTGTTAGTTTCTTGATCACAACAGCATACTTTTCTTTTAAAAATATCCTGACCAGTGAGACTATACCTAAAAATAAATTATTTTCTTGTTCTATTGTCCTGAATTAGAAAATGACTTACTTGGATTTACACCTAACGTTAGTGTTTCCCCCTTGGCAGTCTGTTGGTCGAACTTTTGGTTCTCAGATTATCAGTGAAGAGGTTTTGGCATCATGTTCTAGAGGTCCTCGTGGCAATGAACAGTAAGCATTTACCTTGTCTTTTCTGAAGTCAATTTATCCAGTCTAATTTTCTAGAGAAAGCTTATTTCTGAATAATTTTCTAGAGAACAGTAATTTCAAAGCTGGTACCAACATTATCTTAATTTTCTTGTATCATTTTCTGTCAACGTTGCTTCAAGATGCTTGTTTCCTAACAAGGGTTTCACAGAAGCTAAGTGGAGTAATCAAGTGTTTGAAAATAGTACTGATAAAAATTTTGTTTGTCAAAATTTGATTGAAGATGGACTTTATGTCTGCAAATCAGGGAAACCTTTTTGATATTTTGTGGCACAAAGCTATCTTTCTGATTATCTGTGTATTGATTTTAGTACTCCTTGAGCCTTACTGCCTTATTGTTTTCTCTCATTATGCTCTGAGTTACATTTATTTGCTTATGTGATGGCTGGTTGTAGTTTAGTAAACATCATAAGTGGATTGCATATCAGGGTATGCAGTCTCTTTGAGTTTTGTCACCCACCATTTTATTTCCTTTTCTAACACTTGAAGATTGGTGATGGCCAACTAGCTAGTTGTTAGTGCTATCTGACTATCCTCTTAGTATTGACATGTTTCCGTCATAACTGATATACCTCAACTTTCTATCTTCTGGTGCTGAATTTTGCACTCTCAATTACACTTATTTCTTTTACTTTCTACGTAAAAGGTATGCAGCAGTTTTTGCTGCTTTTGTTGCTGGCATGGCATGTTTGGTTGGGATGGATTTTGGTGCAAAACTTCTGGCATCTCTGGCTAAATGTTTCGAGGTATTGACACATTTACAAGTGTAGTTTTATGGATCAAACACTTTTTTTTTAAAAAAAGGAGTAGGAATTTAGTGGAGGCGGCATTTAATCTTCTTAAAGTCGATATGTTATAATGTTTAAAAGCATATGTTACTTGTCCCATCTCATATAACGTCAATAAATTTACAAAGTAATAACTTGTTGTATGTTTTATTTAGGATGAGTATCTGAATGAAGATAACCTGTCAGTTAGGAACCTGACGCTTCTGCTCTCGTACTTGTACACTTTTGGAATTTGCTCAAGGTAACCACTAAATCTGAATTGATTACTCTCTGACTTGATTATTAGGTGGACAACCTTGGCATTGTACACATGCCTACATATCTCCTTTGTTTCTTTTACTCTTGTTGTTAGATTTTCTATGGTGCTTTCCTTCAATATATTTGCTGTAACTTGTAAAGTTGCTAAATATATGAGAAGATGAGTAGGAAATTAGCTCATTCTTGTGGGATCAGATATATCTAGACTTCTCTGATGTTCTTGCATCAGTGAACCTCAGGAATCAAAGTTAATATATGGATTGAAGATGGGCCCCTAATATTCCAATATAATTCGACACCCCATGTTAAATTGTTCAAAATTAACCCTTTTTAGCCATTCACGAATTTACTTTATTCCGGTAGAAGAACATTCAGTCGGGCTCCTATGATTCAGGTCTTACCATAATTTGCAGTTGCTAAAACGTGTGATGTGTATTAGATTAAACAAGAATGTATATGATGCTTTTATGATAAAACAAGAGATGTTCTTCTGAGGAAAATGCATTTTGGAGACAAATCATGAAGGCTAAACACGGCGAAGAAGATTATTGGCACACTAAAACAGTCCAAGCATCACACGGAGTTAACCCATGGAAATTTATAAGTAAGCTATGGGATGAATTTAGAAACAATACTCAACTCAAGCGGGAATGGTGAATATGTCAGATTCTGGGAAGACAAATGGCTGGGTGCTAATACTCTAAAGGATGAATTCCAGCAGTTATATAAGCTGATACTCTCACATGCCTCTGTTAATCAATGCAGTTGAGGTGGCAACTAGAGTTTATTCCTTGGAAAAAACTTTCAAGATTGGGAACTAGAGGTGTTGTAAATCTTTTGTGGAAACCTGGTGTGGAGTTGCAGAAATAATGGTTTATTTGCTGTGAAGTCATGCTACCGGAAATTGTCCAGCAGCAGTAACATCATAGAGAATTGGCTTTGGAAGTTAGTGTAGAAAATCAAGATTCTTACCAAGATTGCATGTTTCACTTGGACAGCCCTCTCTGGAGGATGTTTAACACATGACAAGTTAATAAAGAGGGGTTTCCTCACTCAGCAATAGATGCTACATGTGCACAACAATCTGAAGATGCTTCTCACCTCCTACTTCTCTGTCAAATGGTGAGAGAAATATGGTCCGCGTTCTTCTGTTTTTGGGGGTACCCGAGGTAATCGCCTACAACATCAAGGAAAGATTATGCTCACTTTACTTGTTATGCCTGCATTTACTTGATGCTTCTTTAATGAAGTTACGTTTACCTTATCAGAAAATATACAAGAGATGTTATTTGCAAATAAATTAAGGAGAGCAACATAGAGAAAGATGTTTGTAATACTTACCACTTTCCACATGTCAAGCAAATGACTACTCTTCGTCGCCCTTGTGGGTAAGAGGCAATATTGACAATCTTCTCTCTCCTCCCCCTCCTCTTTCCCATCCTTGCGTGCCTTGTATGTGCTACTCACTTAGATCTCAAAGGAGCAACAAGAGCTGCAGTGAATTTTGGCAACTTGTGTCCTTTTTCTTCTTTATATTTTAATCATGATGTGAATCCTTGTAGAATCAAGAAAAATAGTCTGTAGTTACTTTCATATATTCGTACGCTCATTAATTCAATTATATTTCTTATGCTTCTCAGTGACTTGATATATGATTTCCTGGTGACGTTGAGCAAGAGATTGACAGAAGTGGATGTTTCTACCATATTGACAGTCCTACAAGGTAATAAACTTACCTTCTGACTGTGGCTTTCTTTGTTGGAATAATCTTATCATCCAATTACTTTCTCCTTCTTTACTCCTGACCTGTTCTCTCTTCCTTGAGTAATAGTGAGACATTTCAACAAATTATTCATGAGTTACTGGGCAGTGTTAATTCATGGCTTACTTATTTCCCTTCATCTCTTATAACTCTATGATTTAACATTCTTTTCACCAAAAAAAAAAGTTTTCTTAACTTGGGCAAATGTTTTTTCTTGCTATCTTTGTATGTTCCAAACGTGAAGAATGCTCCACTTTTTTCAACATTTTAAATTAAAATTTTGGTTGTCAGCTTTTATGCTAAAAAGAGAATAGATAAGATGACCTTTATTTGGGCTCATATGATACCTCTATAGGGTGTCTAACCAAAATTTTTACCACAAAGTGGTATCTAAATGCTTTAAATTAGATATCTAATTCCTACCTTCGTGTTGTGTAGAATGCAAAATAAGCATTAGAAAATCAATTATAAGGATAGAAAAATGTGAACAAAGAATATCAGAAGGAATAAGACGTATAAACTGTTAAATTACTCATATTATCATGGGAATGTTTTAGTAATTTCCTTGAAGCTAACTGGTTCTTTTATCAATGTGGCAAAACACCTTGTATTTTGGCAACTGAATTTTTTTCCAGTTCTGATTAGTCCGAGTATTATATATTTAATCCTACATGATTTTGCTGAACAGCTTGTGGGATGAAATTGAGAGGTGATGATCCCATTGGCATGAAGAACTTTATAGTTAGCGTTCAGAATAGGGTGAATGAATTGAAAACTTCATCTGTAGAAGGGCAATCAAACACTATCGGAAAAAGGGTATGCTAATGCTTTGTTAAAAAGATTGCTTCTTATTCTGCCTCTGCTGACCACATAAGTTTCTGGAACCTCGTTAATCTGTATATTTGCGTACTGGTTTTGTGGCAGATGGAGTTCATGCTTGAGATGATATGTGATATCAAAAACAATAAAAAAAGGACCAAGGAAGATACCTTGCAGCTTACCCGAATTAAGAAATGGCTACAAAAGGTGCTTGTTGGATTCAGCTGTTTTGGATGAATAATTATCTATTGGCACATTTTAATCATTTGATGTTGGTGCCCTTTGTATTGAGCATTTCATCTATCTTATAATTTTTTTTTTGATGAAAAAGGTAAATGATTTTATTAAAGAGTGTACTAAGAACGTAACCAAAAGGATTACGACAGAGAAGCTTTCCCTCTGTATGTTGAAGGAAGGCAAAAGATCTAACATAGAGTTCATGTCAGATTTTATTAAAGAGTGTACTAAGAAGTTAACCAAAAGTATTATGACAGAGAAGCTTTCCTTCTATATGTTGAAAGAAGGCAAAAGATCTAACATAGAGTTCATCTCAGATACAATATCCTTCCTGCACCATAAGTAAAGACTCTTTAAATGTCTAGATCCTCTCCTACTATTAAAACATCTGTTGCTCTTTCCTGCCAGATATTCCAGAAAATGCAAGTAGGAATTTTTTCCTTACCGAACTCCAAAAAGAGCCAGAAATTTGCCCAATTCTGCTTGGTAAAGGTACAGTGGAGCAGAAGATGATTCATGACCAACTATCATCATTTCCTTCCATTCTCCCCAAGGGATTTTTATGACATGTCTTGACTGTGAACCTGCCTTCTTTCTGAAATTTCTATCTCAAAGTATCAGTCACATGAACACTAAGAGATCCTGTTTCCAATTTTGGATCAAATCATTAATGCCATCGATTTCCCAGTCAAATAGGTTTCTTTTCAAATGAATATTCCATCCCTAGGTGGAGTAGCAGTCTGCTACAGTGAAGCCAGCTTTTATTTGTACAGATTTCATAAAGGTCTGGGAATTGTTCTTCTAAAGGAATATTGTCAAGCCACCTGCCAGTCGACATCTTCACCTTCCTTCCATTCCCATCTTTCAGGTTGAGGCTATTAAAGAGTTCATCCCAAAGGTTCCTGGTACTTCTAGACAGACAGACACACCATACACGTTTTTAGCATTGTTGGTGAACCATTCCTCACTTTTAACATATTTAACAGTAATAGCATCTTTTCATAGGCCGTTACCGTTATCATTAAACCTCCAGTGCCACTTCAGTAACAAACTTCTATTCTGCAACTTTAAATTCTTTTTTTCACAGACCACCAGATTTTATGTCCCGTGTTACAATTCCCCATTATACCAAATGGGCCTTCTTTTTTTCTTGGCTACCGTGCCACAAGACATTTCTCCTTAACCTGTCTAGTTGTTTTTTCACTTTCACAGGCATGGGAAATGGGGTCATTATGTGTGTGGAAACTCCATCTAAGACAGCTGTTCATTAGTGTCAGCCTACCCTAAAACAAATGTACTGCTTCTTCCATGGTGCCACTTCCTTTCACATTTCTCAGTCACCCGCTGCCTGACATTAGCATCATTGTTTCTTCTCCTAAAGGAATACCAAGGTAAATGGTAGGGGAACTCTCAATCCTACAACACAAGATAGCAGCCAGCTTGTGAATGATGTGATCAGAATTTACTGAAAATATGCCTGCTTTTTTGCCCAATTTACATGCAAACCAGAAATAGCGTCAAAAGCTAACAGTATTGCTTTCAGATGCAAGAGTATCCCTTCATATGCACTACGCAAAATAAGGGTGTCATCAGCGTAAAAGATATGCGGCACTTCCACTTTATTTCCATTTCTGCTTTATGCTTGAAAACCTTCCATCCATTTTAATTCTGTGGCCCTTTTAAGCATCATGCTGAGAACTTCCATTGCGAGTATAATAAGATAAAGGTGAGTGAATCGTCTTGCCTCGAACATTTCTGTGTGGGAAAGAAACCTTGTGGAGAGCCATTGATGATGGATACTCTAACAGTAGTAATGAAATACTTGATGTATTGTATCCATTGGGCTCCAACTCCAATTAAATCCATCAGCTTAAATAAGAATTTCCAGTTTACGCTAGCAAAGGCTTTCCCAATGTCCAATTTGTATATCACACCAGATTTCTTTCCCTTCTGTTAGTGATCAAGCCACTCATTTACGACCAGCACAGCACTAATTGCTGTTTCCTTTAATAAATGCGTTTTGGTTGCCGGAGACAAGCTTGCCAATAACCAGTTTCAATCTTTCGGTGAGCACCTCTGATATTATCTTTTAAATGCTGGCCAAAAGACTTATTGGCCTGAAATCCTTGATTTCCATAGCTCCTTTCTTTTTCGGGATGAGGGTCATGAAAGTTGCGTTGAAACTTCTCTCCAGATTGCCTTCATAGTGAAATTGCTCATTAGTCTTAAAGACATCGTCTCTCAGAATGTGCCAACATTTTTGAAAGAAAGTCATGTCGAAGCCATCCAGCTCAGGCGCCTTGTCACCAACTAACATCTTCACCACTGCATCAAGCTCTCTTCCAAGGTGAAAGGCCTTTGCAACCATTCTCTATCTTGGAGAGATAAAGTCAAGATGCTGCTGTCACTCATGATGGTCTCCAATGCTCCTTTTCAGTAAACAAGTTCCTAAAAGTTTATTGTATGCCATCTGATTTCATCAGATTTATCTTCAAGCTCCTTTGGTCTGCAGCTTATCAATAGAGTTATACCTCTATGAGCAGTCGCTACTTCATGGAAATAACTTGTGTTCATGTCTCCTTTTTGGATCCACAGCCTAGACTTTTGCCTCCAGGAAGTCTCCTCCGCGTTAGCAATGCATTCAAGTTCTCTAAGAATTTCATCCCGTTCCGATAAATTCCCAGTTGCTGCAGGGACACCTAACTCAGAAACATCCAGTTCTTCCAACTTGTTGAGGGATTTAACTTTTCTTTCCTCCAGTCTACCAAATACTTTTTTATTCCATTCTTTAATATCTTTCTTCAACTTTTCAGCTTGCCGGCTAACATTTTGTTTGGTTTCCCATGAATATCAAAGGATTTCCACCAGTTTCCAACCAAGTCAATGAAAGATTCGCCTTCGAGCCCCACATTCTCGAACTTAAAATAGGAGTTGTTCTTTTCAAATTGTTGGGCAGAGATCCTGCACTGTCCTAGGTTGGGTTCTTGAAAACAATACAAGACAACATTCCGTCTTTTCATCAGCATTTTAATTGTTTTCCTCTTTTTGTGATTGTTTATACCCCTGACATTCCAGCTACAAATTTTCATCTTCATCTTCGATTCATACAGCTGCCTTCCCTGCTGCTCCCATTTGAGTCTTCTCCAATTTTGATATCTGAAACCAAGGCGTTGAGTTCCCTTTGACCTTTGGGTCTGGAGGATGGAGTTGGAATGCTAATTTTGGTACTGGTGTCTTCCTCAGGAAATAATAAAGATAGGTTTCAACTAGTCATGCAGCACTCTCCTTCAATTGTAATTGAGTTGAATATGAAGATGAAAAACATGAAATAGTCTAGCAATACTTTGAGATTGCTTGGGAAATGATTCGTGTGAATTAAGCAAGCATTGCGTTGAATGTTCTATTCATCTTCTCATTGTTATGGGTGTCAAGGTCTCTGTCAGTGCTTATATGAAATTTTGGAGAATGGTTGGCCCCTAGAATTGGTTTACGCACAGGGGCTTCCTAGTTTTCTCCTACAAATTCTTGATAACGACTCTCTAACAATCTAACTTGCATCCAGCTCTCCAATTGCCAAATTATCACTTCTGATTTGTGGTCACATATGCCTTTATTGCTTCATACCAAGAAAGAGTTGATTTTTGTGAATTAATTCTCTTTATTGAGAGAAAAAACGGTCTTTTTGGAGACACATGATAGATTGCCCTTGAACTACTCCTCTCTAGGAGACCCATGATAGTGCACAGGCACATCGAAGGTAGGAGAGAGAACTGGTCTATCTGGTTGATGATTAGTAACAAAGAAGAGATTGCGCATGATGGATTGGTTGCTACTTAACTATTTGAAAGCTATAAAAGGTAGAACAAACATACATTTTTTTTGGTGTGAGTACTGAAAGAACTCATGTTTTACTTACTGTGTCCTCTATATTTTAACTAACTCTATATCTGGTAATTGGATATGCAGAAGAAATTATTTAAATGCTCCTGGACTGATATTAACATCATTCTTAACCAGATATTAGATCCATATTATGTCCAATCTTTATTTTACTTTAATGCGAAATTTGGGTTCATGATTAAATTTTGTGGAAGATGGCCTTTTAAATCTAGTGAAAATGTGCTGGCTTGCGCTCTAGAGAAACTAATATATATATATATATGTCGATCTAGTAGTGCTCGAACACTACTCTTGCAAGATTCAATATTTTTCTGCGAAAGATAAATGTAGAGGGCAAAAAATACTCTGTAAATAAACTATTCTTTTGTTATTTGGATGGACAAAAGCAAGAAGTGATGGTAATCAGCTTGCCAAATTCCATGAAATTTGACATTCCTTAGATTACCACACTCAACATAGTCTCATCATCTGTCATCCTTGGATATAAATGTTAATCTCTTTCGTTATGTGCTTTGCTAATCTTAATTGCAGCTTAGAATAGATGATATATTGATTCGTGGATTGAAGTGGAGCAAGCTGCTTGATCCTGACAAGAGAGGCCAGTGGTGGATAGCTGGGAATATTGATTCCACAACAACTGATATTCAAGATGTTGCCAGCACAATTGACTTGGAGGTCACTGAGGCTCAAAAGATGCTCCAGCTTGCCGCTGCTCAGAGGATGAACACTGATGCAAGAAGGGCAATATTCTGCGTAATAATGAGTGGGGAGGACTATATTGATGCATTTGAGAAACTTCTAAGATTGGATTTGTCAGGCAAGCAGGTTGGCACCCCTTGGTCGAATTCCCTGTAATTTATTGTTGTGCTTGTCTATCAGAAACGCCTCTCTACCTGACACTAGGTAGGGGTAAGGTCTGCGTACACTGTACCATCCCCAGACCTCACTTGTGGGATCACACTGGCTTTGTTGTTGTTGTTGTTGTGCTTCAAGTGCAAATTCTGTAATATCTATATGTGCAGGATAGGGAAATCATGAGAGTTTTGGTGGAATGCTGTTTACAGGAGAAAGCTTTTAACAAATACTATTGTGCTCTAGCTTCCAAGTTATGCAGCCATGACAAAAACCATAAGTTCACTCTGCAGGTATGCCTTTTGCTCAAACCAGAAGAAAAGACAAATGAAGTTAGAACAGTGCAAATTTCTTGTGCTTTCTGTTTCCTGTTTGGATTGATGTGTGCACTTAGAGGTTCAAAGTTTTTCTTAGTGATAGGTCTGACCTGTCTCTCCAGTTAATAGTGCGTTAAATTGAGACCTTAGTGGTGGTTCAAGATTTCCTTGGTACATAAAATAATATTATTTGAGATCACATGCTCATTTTAGCAATGAAGGATGAATATGAAGAGACTATGGACAAACAAATTTTACTCTTTCTGTCTCACCCCATTTGTCCTCGTTTTCCCTTTTTATTTGGGGTGGGGGGGGGGGGGGTGTAAAATTGTTTTGCTTGAGAATCATCTGAAACATGGTACTCACATGAGCTGATGTTTGCACCCAACAAAATTACATGCACTAACCTCCTAATGGTAGTGCAACTTATTAAGTGTAATTAGTTCCAAAGAACAGGGTATACATACTAATGTCAAAACCATAACCATGCTAATCCAATTTCATTTGCAGTACTGCCTCTGGGATCATTTCAAGGAGCTCGACTCGATGCAGCTGATCAGATCAATGCACCTATCCAAGTTTGTGGCAGAGATGGTTGCTTCTTTTAGCCTTTCACTTGCTATATTAAAGGTTATCGATCTCAGCGATTCTTCACAACTGACTCCAAAAAGGATCATGCATTTCCGGATGCTATTCGAGACCATCTTGGAATTTCCTGAAAAGCTTGTGTGGAACATCTTTACTCGAATTGCTGTTATGCCAGAGTATGAATCCCTTCGAGATGGGATTGTCTTGTTTATCCGCAAGTACGTCGTGGATGACCAAAAGTCTCTGGCAGATAAATTCAAGATTGCAAAGAAAGCCCTTAACAATGTTGAAGGAGTCATCATGTAAGTCTCTGCATAATGTATTCTAGCTTTAGGATTTTGCAGGAACGGTTAGTTACTGGAATGTCATTAACCCATTTTTGGTAGAGGGTTTTCTTGATTTTTGAAATCATTTATTTAACCAACTTTTATAGGATATACGTGACGAGAATTTCAGTATAGAAGTGTCCTAGCTAGGTGACTTCCAACTTTGGAATTGCATAATGTCTCACTTGGGAACCTTTCTCAGGAGCTCATATTTGATTCTAGTCACGGCCTACTACTTTTTAATTAGCTGTTTATGCATTATTGTTCCTCCAATCACAAAAAGAAAGAATTGTAAAACACAATCAGTTAATTAATGAATAGGCAGCAGACCAGTAACTATTGAACCAAATCTGGTATTTTTTAAGTGGAGAAGGAATGATTGGTGGTTTAGCATTCACCCAGATTTGAAATCGGAACAGCGAATTCAAGGAACACACTCGCCTTTATAACGGGACTAGATAAAGGTAGCACGGGCCCAACAGGTATTTTTCAAGTGTTCCGGCGTCACCAAAATAGTGCTCATCTCTAACTATGAAATTGGACTATCATAACCAGTAGGCTTTTCAGCCATCATATAAAAGAAGAGCTTGTTAAAACATACAGGCTTTTAAGACTCATAAAACCAGTTTACCTGAGTGGATTTCAGCACCTCTTCAAATGCATATTTATTTTGTTTCTTTTGTCATCTTGGGTGAACTACTTCGAAATCAACTAAAAGCTACTGAGCATATTAAAATTAAACACAAATTTCCAAGTCAAGCGAAAATATTACAACAGTAACCAATCTCCTAATAAGTAAAGCATGGTATTAACTGTCAAAGTCAAAGACGTATCAAAACATTTAAAGGAAATTTACAAGTTTACAAACAGTGTAAAGTGTAAACATTAATTGGCAGGCCTTATTTGAAGAGCCCGGAACAATAAATATTACTCCCTCCGGTCCAAAATAAGTGATTTTTTGGTTTTTTTTCTTGTGGTCCAAAATAAGTGATTTTTTCAGATTTCAAGGATGAATTAATTATTTTTTTCCTACATTATCCTTGGAGTAAATAGTGTTGGAATATGTGTTAGGAGTGTTTATGTGAGATAGTAAAGGTTAATATGGTCAATTCCATTGCTAATTAATGCTAAAAGTTGAATTTCTTAATCTGTGTGAAAACATCCAAAAAATCACTTATTTTGGACCGGAGGGAGTATGTGGTTCACATTAAGAAAAAATTAGAAGTCTAATTAATTACACGGGATACCTAAATATGCGATTTTATTTTACAGTATTTCGGGTAAGGAGTCTCTCTGCCTGCAGTCAAGCTAACCAAAATAAAGATTAGTGATTCATCCAAAAGAAATGAAACTGTTGAATGACAAAGAGGTCAAATTAGATTCCCAGTTTCCACAAGCATGGATCCAAACTGTTTCAGTAACTTCTTTTGTATGTAGAAAAGAAAACATCTCTTTGTTTCTCTCTTATCAATAGAGACAACGATGCACCTAGAATCATAAGGTAAACAGAAATAACTGAAAAAAGGTAAACAAAAAGAACAAGCAAGAAGCTCACCTCAATCATTAATGAATGGTGAAAGAAAATTAAATATCGATTGGCACAAAAAATCGAAGCAACACAGAGATTTAAAAAAAAAAAAAAAACTTGCTGGATGGAGATTTTAATGCGTTTTGGCACTGAGAGAAAGTAATACTTCAGTCTCTATGTAATTCTCAAAGCTAGTTTTTACAACATAATCCTTGTCAAAATGGAACCATAAAATAATACCTGAGAATAAAGAAAGCAGTGAGATGCATAAGAAATATAATAGAAAGCCTAGTTCGAATAAATTTCTCAAACACCTAAGTTACAAAAGCTCTTCGCATGTTAAAGTTTCTGTGCCCGACAGCCCTAAAACCTCATAAGAAAACACAAATTTCTAACATGTCACCGAAGATAAAACAGATGATAGAAGAAACAAAAGATAAAAAGAAGAATATTAATGATCCAGTAGCAACATTAGGAGTAAGAGGAGAACTGTTTGGAGATAGAGAACTTTGAGAAATCTAAGATGGATAAGAGAAACGAAACAGTCACTCCCCGTATGATGAAAATGAACTCCGATCCACATATTGGCCAAGCAATATTAATTAGCATTAGCAACAGATGTAAATAAGCACAAAAAGATTCAAGAGTCGGACCAGTGGCGGACCTAGAATTTCAAGTCAATGCGTGCTCGAGCAATCACCCTTCTCTGTGTGGGTCTGTCTTAGCCGCAACCCGTAACCTGTGGAAAGAGAGAAGAACCATACTTCTGAAAAGGTGATTGTTACTTTACATCTAAAGATAAGTTCATTTTTTTTTTTTTTTTTTTGTATTACTCTAGCTAATTCTGAATAATTGTACATCAGTCAGTACATGGATATAAATAAATAAGTTCCAAATGGAAAGATTACTTCTAAACCATTCTCTGGCGAAGTGTTTTAGCACCCTTTGTGAATCCTCTTAATCCCATGCACCAGAAGACTATCCAATGGTATAGGTGCTTAATGAACAATTCATATCATATAGTATTAAAATATCAATTTTATTATATATACTCATTAGCAGTTTAATGGGTGCTTCAGCAGCCACTCTTCTATATGTGGGTCCGCCTTAGGTAGGAGTCATAAATGCTGGAAATAAAGTGATAAACACGTCTGTTCAAATATTTACTTAGCACATCATTCATACTAAGTTCTAATGCAAGGAACATCTTACACAAGTAAAGATCACTAAGAATCTCTACATAAGTTTTGATCATAATTCCCATTGTTCTTAACAGAATGTTTGAAGAACCTCGGTAATAACAGCTACTAACTCTCTATCATACTGGTCATGCTATGGTGATAACTTTTTAGTGAAGTTTACTTTGAGATATCATAAACTTATATAGATCTATTCTTATTACATATTTCAGAATTGGCAAAATAGTTACCTGTATTTTTACTTTTACAATAGATATCTGCAACTTGTTATACGGTCTCACTTGCTTAATTTTACACAAAGACTCCTTTTTTTTTTAATCCGGTGTATTTACTTTATCAACTTCATTTTAGCTTTTTGCGTAAGTTACCAATTTTTTATCAGGGGTGAATTATCTATCTATCAATATCAAACTTGTAGAGACTCTGTTTTACACTTAACCACTAATGGAAGCTTTCATAGCCTTGTCATACTAAAGATCATAAATTTTAGAAGTTTTTTCAACGACACGAATGTTATGACCGTACCGGTTTAAGATTAGAAGTTTCAAAAGTTTTTCATTCTTTTTTAAACACCCCAAGTTAAAGAGAGGGCATAGTTCGTCCGTGTATTACCTTTTCATATCGAAATCCAAAGCAGGTCCAACCAGCCCCAACCCAAAGATAATTAGAAAATCTTATGGAAATCCTAATTCCTTGAAGAATTTTTCGAAACACTTACAGAGCAACAGAAAGCAGCGATGGGAACACAAAATTCAAATAATAGAAAATTGCAAAAGATAATATTCCATAGTATTGGAAATACGTGATAAAGGAAATCAGAATCAAAGGGGCCCAAATAATGCAAACTAAATTAATAGAAACAGTGCTAATAGAACGCTCACCTGAAGAAGGTCTAAAATCTATAAACCGTAAAGTTGAGAACAAGAAGGAGCTGTACAATCTAGAGAGAGAACAGACGTCTTAGAGGGAGATGTTACTTTTCATAAAGTGTTAGATTGATTAAGAATGGACTGCCCATGTTGTCATACCAAAATATGAGTCACCCTAGAAATCCTGAAATGGGCAAACTAAACTCAGATATATTTGTTGGAATAAAGGGTTTTGAAACTGGGAAACCGACAGACTGTGGAGCTTTTCTGATATTGCTGATACTGAATTTGCAATAAACTGGGTGTTAAACTTTTAATACAGAGAACCTGCATCTGCCATGTTTCTTAAAGAGCTGTCTGCTTGGTACCGATAAGAACAAGAAGAGTGAGAAGAGAGAAGCCAAAGAAGAGCTTGTAGAGAGCGGTGATTGCCAGATTTCCGAAAGTGGTCGATATAATCCAAGTGAAGCTAAAAGAAGTTAGATGGAAAAACAATATTACCCTTGAAGTGTGAAGCAGACATGTCGTCCAGGTGTGTGCTAACTCCCTCTTATTAGATAGGAGAATGTGTTTCTTTGTCCTTTCCAAAGTAACTCTTATAGGCATGAATTTGGATTTAGTGGGACCCAATCCGAGTATCGGATATCGGGTGTAAAAGAAAAGAACTCTTCAATTAACTTTTACCATTTTAAAAATGTTAGAATGTGGGGAATGGAATAGCAACTTATGAAAAGTTATAATACCATCAAAAGCTTTCTGATTCTAGCTTTCTTCCCTTCCATCCCACTTTCATTCTACTATCTTCGCTTCCATTGCAATTCACGGATGTGTCCTCCCAATAAAAATCAAAGAATATAAAAAATATTTAGAGGTTGTTTGGATTGGTTTTTAAGTTGATCAAATAAGCTTTGAAGCTTCTTTTATTTTTTTTTAATTTTTTCAGTGTTTGACAATGTCAAAAAGTGCTTAATAAAAGTTAAAAATTGCTTAAAACAAGCTAAAAGCAATAAGTTGGGCAACCCCAACTTATTATTTTTTTAGTTTAAAAGCTATTTGTGCTGAAAAATCACTTTTTTAAGCTATTCCAAACATGCTCGATATTGTAGCTGCTGAATTCAATGTGATATACTTCCTTTTCTGTTTGTTGAGACTCTCTTGGGGCTCGCCCCAAGGTAGGCACTAACACCCCACGACTCCCAAGACTCACGTGTGGAACTCTTGTTCACGAGGCTTATGCTCCAAGCACCCGATAACTTGCCCCATATACGCAACGCTTAGTGCATAGAACTCATCTAACAACTCTTGCAAAAATTACATGCTAAATTCCTTACTTAACATCACAACAACAACAAATCTAGTGTAAGCCCACATGTGAGGTTTGAGGAAGGTAATGTGTACGTAGAACTTACTCCTACCTTGTGAATGTAAAGAGGTTATTTCAGATAGACCCTCGACTCAAGGAACAATGAAAACAAAGTAACAAAGAATAGAAACAACAATGAAATAGGGTAACAGAAGCGAATGCCACAACATGTAATAATAAAGAACACAAAATAAGAAAAATACAAGAATAATACTAGTACTACTGGTAAGCCTAGGAGAAACTAACGACTACCTGTCAACCTTCACCCTAATTCTCGACCTCCACTTTCCTATCGAGGGTCATGTCCTCGATAAGCTGGAGCAATTGCATGTCTTGCCTAATCGCCTCACCCAGTACTTCTTTGACCTACCCTGTCCTTCCTCAGACCCGCCATGATCAACCTCACACCTCCTGATCAAGGCATCTATATCTCTCCTCTGTATATGCACGAACCATCTTAGCCTTAATTCCAGCATTTTGTCCTCAGTAGAGGCCACTCCCACTTTGTCCCTAATAACTTTAGCTCCTAATCGTGTCTTTCATGGTATGCCCATACATCCATCTCAACATCCTCATTTCAGCTACCTTCATCTTCTGGACATGAGACTTTTTGATGGGCCAACACTCAACCCCACAACATAGTGAATCTAACCACCACTTTGTAGAACTTGCCCTTAAGTCTTGGTGGCACATTCTTATCGTACAACACCCTAGAAGCGAGCCTCCATTCAATCCACCCCGCTCCAATCCGATGAGTAACATCCCGTCAATCTCCTTGTTGCCTTGGAGTACAGTCCAAGATACTTAAAACTATCCCTTTTTGGGATGACTTGTGTATCAATCTTGACTTTCAGTGCTGCTTCATGCATCCTATCACTGAAGTTGCATTCCAAGTACTCTATTTTTGACCTTCTCAACTTGAAACCTTTAGACACTGATGTCCGTATCCGAACTTCCAACCTAGCGTTAACCCCACCTCGGGTTTCGTCAATCAGTACTATTTCATCAGCAAATAGCATACACCGTGATACTTTCCCTTGTATGTGTCGCGTCAGCACATCCTACGTCAGAGCAAACAAAAACAAGATAAGAGTCGATCCCTGATGTAACCCCATCTTTACTGGAAAATGTTTTTGAGTCACCACCCGCAGTCCTCACCCGAGTCTTATATCCCTCGTACATGTCCTTAATTTACCATAATATACGCTATCGGAACACCTCTAACATCTAAATATCTCCATAGAACCCCCCCTCGAGACTTTTTGTCGTAGGCTTTCTCTAGGTTAATGAATACCATATACAAGTCCTTTTTCCTTTCCCAATACTGCTCCACCAATCTCCTCACAAGGTGTATGACTTCAGTAGCTGACCGTCCAACATAAATCCGAACTGATTCTCGAAAATATACACACTTTTCCTCACCCTCCTTTCCACCACCCTCTCCCACTCAGAAGCTTGATACCCCTATAGTTATTGCAATTGTAGATATCATCTTTATTTTTGTACAACAGAATCATCCAACTCCACGCCAATCTTCGGGCATCTTCTTTGTCATGAAAATGATATTAAACAAGCCAGTAAGCTACTCCAAGCCTGCCCCGAACCGCGCCCTTCTATAATTCCACCAGGATCTCGTCAGGCCCAGTCGCCTTATCCCTACACATCTTCCTCATTGCCCGCTCAGTTCTCAACCTTAATACACCTATAAAACCCAAAGTCACTTTGACTCCCTGAGTTCTCCAATTCACCGAACATGATGTTTTCGTTGTTCAAGAGTTTAGGGTAGTGCGTCTACCATCTACGCCTAATATACGCCTCTTCCACCAGTACTTTGTTATCTTCGTCTTTGATGCACCTCACTTGGTCCAAGTCCCGATCCTTTCTCTCTCTCTAATCTTGGCTAACCTACAACTTCCTCTTACCTCATTTGCCCCAAGATCCTCATACAATTGTTCAAATGCTGCAGTCTTAGCTGCCAAGATCGCCAATTTTGCCTTTTTCCTAGCCTTCTTATAACACTCTCTATATGTCCTTTTCTTCTCCCCGTCCGTTCTCTCTACTAGCTTCCGATATGCAGCTTTTTGCCCTCCATTTTTTCTTGAACTCCCCATTCCACCACCTGTCATCTTTGTGGCCTTCTGATTATAGGCTGTACTTACGTATTTTAGTCGATTATTACATTTCAATTCACTGCACTTCAGTTGAGTTTGAGCTTTAATCGCTAGTGTTTTGGACTAATTGTGTGTTTTATGCCTTGTAAGAGTGATTCCGAGCTATGTAGATGTTATGGAATGAATTCAAGTGATTTGGAGCTTTGAAGTCTGAGTAAAAGCCCAAGAAATTAAGCCGGGATCATTCGGGGATCAACGGATGATAGTTAAGAATGAATGAAGAATCGAGTAGGTATATTGCGCACTATCTAGTAAAATGCACATAACTTTTTGCTCAGAACTCCATTTGAGCTCCACAATATATTATTGAAAATATACTTCAAAGGGATACAACTTTCATGTTCTACGTTTTTCCAAATTCCAAACAGAACAGGGTGAAAAATGCACGACAAGTGCGCGGACGCGCACTGGCCGCGGATGTGAGGCAGAAACTGGGTAAAATCCGCAGCTGCGGGCGTTCTTGTAACGACCCGACCGGTCGTTTTGCATTTTTGAACCCCGTTCCCTTAAATAAGACTTCCCGCACTTGCTTATGCTAATTTATGACTTGCGGGGATGGGTGGTTCGGAAGTTAGAAGAGTTTTGAGCAAGAATAAGTCTAGTTGCTTCTTTAAGTTTATTTAAAAAGGCCAAGTTTGACTTTGGTCAACATTTTGGGAAAACGGACCCAGAATCGTGATTTGGCAATTTCTGAGGGTCCGTGGGAAAATATGGGACCTGGGCGTATGCCCAGAATCGAATTCCGAGGTCCCTAGCCCGAGTAATGAATTTTTATGTGAAATTGTTAAGTTAAAGTTTCAAAGGTTTAAATAAACTAAGAAATCATTGTTTTCCTAGGTATCGTGATCGGATCTCGATTCCGAAACTTGGTACAAGTCCGAAATATCAGTTAAGACTTACCCGTAAAATTTGGTGTCAATCCGAGTAGTTTAAGGGCGTTTTGACCCGTTGGAGGAGAATTTAGAACTTGAAGTTCAATGATTTGATTCATTTGGTTTTGGGGTTGATTCCCCGATTTAGCGTTATTTTGAGTGTTTCGAGGGTTCGAGTAGGTCCGCCTCGTGATTTCAGACTTGTCGGTATGTTCGGGCGGGGCACGGGAGCCTCGAGCGTCAAACGAGCGGGGCTCGAGTGAAGTTAGAATTTGGAAAATGACCGAAGCTTGCTGCTTCTGTCATAACTGCATCGGCGGTTCTTGGACCGCAGAAGCGGGACCGCAGATGCGGTCAATAGTTCGCAGAAGCGGAGAAGGGGCAGGCCAGGGGAAACCGCAAAAGCGGCCCAGGGACCGCAGAAGCGATTCCGCCTATGCGGCCCCCAGACCGCAGAAGCGGTCGAGCCCCAAATCCCAAAAGCCGCAGAAGCGGCCAAATTCCGCAGAAGCGGATCTCGCAGAAGCGGAAATACTTCCGCATATGCGAAAATAACTGGGGGCAGAAGGGTTCATTAATACGAACCCAAACTCATTTCTTCCACATTACTCTCAACACTTAGGCGATTTTGGTGATTCCAAAGAGGAGGTTTCAACATAACATTGCAAGGTAAGTAATCCCCACTCATTTTTAGTTCAAATACATAAACATTAGGTAGATTTAACACTAAAAATTAGGTAAAATCAAGGGATTTGAGCTAGACCTAGGGTTTAATGAAAACTAAGATTTTATCACATAATTTGCCATGTAGTGAACTAGAAATCATATATTTGTGATCCTTAGGATAGGGAACAACTTCCTTCGAAAAATTCTCGGAGTCCGGGCACGTGGGCCCGGGGTCGGAATTTAGGAAACTTGTGTAAATGGTTAGGAAAATGTTTAAATAGCTAGAATTCAACCTTGTAAGCCTTTATTTACTAGTTCTTACTTCGTTTGATTAGTTTGGGATTGTCCGGCTTCGAATTAAGGACTTGGGCTCGTTCTTGGACATTGGAAGTGCACTTTGGAGCGAGGTGAGTCTCCTTTCTAACCTCGTAAGAGGGAATT